GCTGCAGCAGATGCTGCTGGGTGGCTTGATGATGGAGGCACTTTGTTGGATCTACTCTGAGCTTCAACTGTTTGTGGCTGATGTTGCTGCTGCATCTGTAATCTAACTTGTGCAAGCAATGCCTTTATCTGAGTTCCTGTGAGGGTCTCATGCTCCAGAAGAGCATTGGCAAGTGCATGAAGCTCCTCGTTGTGAGTGGTTAGAATAGTTTTTGCATTGTTGTAAGCCCTCTCCAGGAATTCCTTCACCTCTTTCTCAATAATAAGCCTAGTCTCCGAGCTCATGCTCCTCCCATCATCATTGTAATTATGTGTGACTAGTCCAACTTCATTGCCCATACCATATTTGGTAACCATCTCCCTTGCCAACCTAGTTGCTTGCATGAGATCTGAGGATGCACCAGAAGTGACTTCATTTTCTCCAAAAATCAGCTCTTCAGCAACCCGGCCTCCCATGCAAACATCAAGCCGGGCAAGCATCTGTTTCCGGGAGATGCTGGTCTCATCCTCCTCGGGCAATTGAGTAACCATGCCGAGAGCCATCCCTCGGGGTACTATAGTTGCCTTGTGAACAGGAAGGGCCCCATCAGTATGAATGGCCACAAGAGCATGACCACCCTCATGGAAAGCAGTCAACTTTCGTGAATCCTCGGATATGACAGCTGACTTGCGTTCACTTCCCATGATGATCTTGTCTTTTGCATGCTCTAGATCAGCCATGCTCACAGCTTTAGCACCATCCATTGCAGCCTTGATAGCAGCAATGTTAATCAAGTTTGCAAGGTCAGCACCAGAGAATCCAGATGTTCCTCGAGCAATGATCATTAGATCAACATCATCAGCCTTCAGAACCTGTATTTGATTCAAGACAAAAATCCAGCATAACAAGTAGGTAACACTGCTCCCACAATGTTATAATAAGATGATGGTTATATATGTAATGGATAAAAAAAATACCATCTTATGTAAACTTCAAAATAAATGAGTGTGAGCTCATACATAAAAGTATCCCATGGATAGCCGATCATAGCCCAAAGAAAAAACCATAAAAATGCACCTGCATCTGCACCTGGGAGTCTAGTTGACATAAAAGTATATACATTTTCTTTTCTCATTGTTTGTACTGTACAATGAAAAATTAAGAAATTATGAGTTGCCTTCAACTCAATTAGTTGCTCTCACTCGGTCTTTTTTAGACGATAAATTATAACACATTACCTTTGTTCAATTTTCTTTATGTTCCCTTTTTTCTCTGTGGGACCAACTGGTTCTCCTTGTTCTGAAATGCCCTGTAAAGTCAATTTGCTTTATATTTTTCTACATATAAATGAGTTGTTATAAAAATAAACAATTGAACTGCACTGCAAACACAGCCAATTAAATTCCATAATGCTTCATGTTTTTCAAATTTCAATTCAGTAAACCCTAAATTTATTGACAAATAATAAGATGCCTACAGCATGAAAATACTTCAAAGCAGGAGATAGCACCCTAATGGCTTCATGCTCTCCACGTTTGTTTTACAATTGTAACCAGAATTTCCAAATTTTTTCTTCTAATATAAAAACAATTCCGAAGCTTTACAACTATTCAGGCTTCGGTCTCTGACTAAAATCTATGATTACAAATGAAAGAATGACTATATGTTGATTTCTACTAAACTTTACCCGTTTCTTTCCTCTTTGTTGATTTCTTATTTTGCTATCTACAACGATCTGACAGCAATTTCCCCAAATTCATTCGACTAACCATACAAGCATGAACTCATTCCATTAACAGATCAGAAGAGGGGGCTGCTATTTGCCTTCCTTTATTCATCTACTTCTAGATATCCACAGAAATTCGTGTCTTTATGGGTTTCAATTTCAAACCCATACTCTCTGGTGAATAAAGCTCAGGAGAAATGCAAGATGGGCTCAAGGGGCTTCGTGGGCTGACACTCAGCTTGGATGGCTTGTACAAGCCATATCCCATAAGAAAGTATTCCATTGGTATTAACATGGCATGAGGCTGCTCCTCTGTTACCATTGATCCACATGCTTGAACCTGTAGTTCCACCAACAGCTATTAAATCTAAGATTATTGCAACATACTCTTAACACAAATTAATAGAAAATGAACTATTTTCAACACCTCAACTAAGGCACTGAATCGTCTGTCTAACTTTGCAGTCATGTGAAGAGCCTCCGAGTGAAATGGTGACATATCGCCAACAAAAATAAGTGAACGGCAATGTAATTTCCTCAACCCTTCACTTATGTCAGGTCTCCTGTTAGATGCCAATACGAAGTTAAATGAAAATGAAATATATCCCTAAGCAACAAGTGTTGGCATACCCAGTTGTGCATAAAAAAAAGTCATCAGCCAAGAGTGCAATTATAATAACGACTTTCTGAGTGATATTGCAAGTTGCAAACTTGCAATAATAAATATCTTCCAGAGCAATCATCACTTCTACATCCCCCTGCCCTCAAAAAGAAATACGAGAATCACTATTTTGAAAGTGCAATCATACCCGTTAATAGCTTCCAGGAAACGCCACACATTCAAACTCTGTCTCTCATCCAACAACTGTAAGAAAATATTAAAACAGACTCAAACTAGTGTTCAGCTTCAAATAACAAGCTACCCGTTATGACCCAATTCCTACATGAAAATGAAAATAATTATATTGACTAACCCTTCGGCATGCTTTAACAATATCTGACTCTGGCAACTGAGTACCACCTCGAATTTCCTATCACCACAAATAAAAGGCAATGTTTCAGCCTAACAAACTGAAAGTGAAAGTAAAACAAGGAATTCTTTTGGAAGCAAAAATATACCTTGCTAAAGTATCGCTTCAGCAATATTTCCTTTACCACCCCACACATGCCATAAAAGTATAGTAAATTTGACATAACCTGCAAATATTGTAAAATCTTCAGGAAAGAACAAGATTAATTTTTATAACAAAACACAATCTTTCTTGCAGAGGAGCAGAACCTTGTTGTACAGCCATTCAGACCAAGATGGTTCTTTACATAGAGGAGAAACAAGTATCAAACCAAGAACTCGTTGTCTATACTTCATCTGTTGTCAAGTGTTAGAAAGACCTGTGAGTAACTTAAAGCCATTTAAGAAGGAGGAGACAAACACAAATGAAAACTTACAGCAAATAAGGTGAGAATGTAAGCCCCAGCAGTTACTCCCATACACATAACTGCACTAAGACTGCAAAACAAGAACAAGTAAAGGATAAATCAGCTTCTATGGTCAGAGTACCAATCACTTTCAACCTGTCCATTCTAGGAGGAACTTGGAGTCAACATTCGATATTAAAACACAAAATAGGTGTTATGAATGAAACGACAAACAGAATATGCTCTAAAGCAATTTTCTTCATGTCACTAAATGGAAAGCAACTGCTGATTAAGCTCAAAGACTCACCCAAAAAAGTTGAGAACCTCGGCTATTTGATCAGCCAAGTCATCTACAGAGAGAATTGGATAATCTGGATCAATTGCAGCAGCTCCTAACTGCAACAACTCTTGAAGAAAGTACAAGATGATAAGGAACCAGGTAACTTATAAACATTCAACATTGTAGAAATATATAGCAGCAAAGCAATAAGAATCAAGCAACACCATAGTACAACTTCAAGATACAAAGTTACAGACCTCATGCCCAGGTGGGCTAATATGATAAATGCAGAAATTGTGGAGCAGAAGGTAATATGCCTCGGGACAAAATAATAACCCCTGAAAGCACGAGACATCTAACAAAACCACATGCATGAAGACAAAAGGTTAGATTGTCAGTTCATCAGCAAAAAAGAAAGAAAACTTGAAGAGTAATCAATGTTAAGAAAAAGTCACAAAACACCATTTTTAGATTTGATTTTGTCTGCAGAAAACCTTTTAGGAGCAAATCATGACTTTTAAGAAAAGATATATATAATTTTTTTTATGGAGAAAGAAGAGCAAATGTTTAATTGTTTTGATAAAAAAACTGTGATACATATTTCAACACCAACAAGTACCAGATTTAAAAATTGGGTTAAATTGAATCAACTTAAATTTACTTGGAAAGAATTTTCAATTTTTCACCATGACAGATAAAACAATTCTGTAAAAGCTGTAACTTTAATGTAAAGTGCAATGCTCTGATGAAAAGTTAAGGAGAAAAATCAAGGAATATACATAAAACCCAAAATCCATTTAACTTACAATTTAAAGCCAAATCAGGATATGTTATAAGAGCTGGCTTATCCTGATCTCCATAAACAGCAACAGATACAGAACCATGACGTGTTCTAATAATGTGTTCCTGCAGAAACATACCAGTAGCATATTAATCACTAGTAACAGCACATGACAACAAATTGTTCATTATATTCCATTGCCTTTATGTTTTTATAACAACAAGCGGAGAGAAAATCTGGCAAGTAAAGTCTAATAGCATAGTTGAGTTAATTGTTGGCGACAAAGAATGGTATAATATCATGTTTGAAGCTCCTTTTAAGGAAGCAAGTTCAAGTTCGTTGTCCTTAATAAACAAGCTGTTAATCATGCATGAGCATTCAGCATGTACACCAAAGACATGGAAATGCTCAGGGAAGCATAATGAAATCTCAAAACAAAAGTCACATGCCAAAAAGAAATCCATAACAAGGCACAAAATCTTTCAAGGCATCTACAATGTAGATTGCATGTGAAGAGACTCCTTTTTGAAGACAATCATGATTTTACAACATTATAAAAAAAATTGTACGCTGTCATATATTGTTAACCAAGTAAAAATCACTTTAGATATGATATAGTTTTTAAAAATTACTTAGTTTAATTTTTAACCATATGTCAACTAATCAGAAAATATGACTAACTTTAAAATAGTTATTGTAAAGGATAAACTTATCATACATGGCAGCGCGAGATTACTAATTAGATGAGTGCATAAAATATTTACTCCTTTTTTATAAATATAAATAAATAAGTAGTTAATCCACTCACCATTGTTAACTTCTACAATTTCTACCAATGACACACTCATCAGTTGACAATACAAAACTTACACTCACATTGCATAGATATTAAATTATAAAACAAACAAGACAGAAAAGTCTAAAACCTCAATGGCACAATCCAAACTAGTTAACCCATCCAATACGCGAGAACACAAACACAAAAAGCCTTCACCGAATTTGAAAATCCCTTAATCAATATCCACAAAGTGAACTAGTAACTAACTACATTTGCAGTAACTGCATAACTCGCGGAGAATCCCAAACTCACATCATTCTTGGCATCAATCTCCACTACCTAAATTCAGAAGCCAAAACGACACGGCAAACGCCGTTTCCGTTTGGGAAGAAGAAACAATCAAACAAACTAGCCAAAACTCAAAAGCGCAATCGAAGTCATTCTCAGTTAACAGATAACGAAATCACTAAAACGCGGAAATCCGAAATTTAAACAAAAAAATAAAAAATGCTAAACGACGAGAAAAATGAACGAATCGAACGGCAAATAACATCATCAAGAAGATTTATTGATTACAGAGAAAAGCCTCTAACGTGAAAGCAGATTATTATCACTATTGTTGTTGCTGCGTGCAACATTTAATCGATTAAAGAAAATAGAATGTAGAATAATAATAAGAGTAATATATATACATATACATATACCTGAGGTGAGGGAGAGAAGGAATCGATGTCGAGCGAGAGTGAATCGCTTGAGGTTGAATCAGCCATGGAACGAAATCGAGAGTTGAATTGCGAATGCAGTTGGAGTTGGAATCGCGTTTATATGGTTGTTGTTGTTATGGCAACACAACAGAACAATAACGAGCGAGTGAGTGAGTGAGTGAGTGAGTGAGTGAGTGAGTGAGTGAGTGAGTGAGTGAGTGATGGTGGTAATTAATAAACTCGAGCGAGTCAAAACGAGTCACCGACGCTTCCGTGGCGTGGCACTTGTTCTGTTGTTTGGGGGCCTCACGAGCGGTCCGCGTCAAACTAAACAATTCCAACCAGATACTCTGGTTCAGTTAACCACACTTGGGTAAGCCGACAATTTTTTTTTCCCCCCTTTTCGCTTTTCTTTTTAAAATATAGTGTTTTTTTTTCTTGGTGAAGAATATATTTCCATGAAAAATAAAATAAAAAATTAAAATTAAAAGTCATAGCTTCACAGGTATGGATTAATTAGTGCGTGCTGTCACAGCTAAATTAATAATTTAAAATTTGGGCCACAGATAATAATACATTTGTATTAAATGCATAGAATAAGAACGTTAACTGCTATACTTTTATCCGATTTAAATAGAATTATTTTCTATAAAAAAATATATTTATAAAGTTTACATTAAAAATGTAATTATCAGTTGATCTAATATTTTTTTAGAAAATTTAATAGACCGATTCAAAAGCTAAAATTGAATATTGTTTATGAAAAAAAAAGTTAATTGATAATGTGTTTAGTGATTTATTATAATCTCGATTATCATTGACTCGTAATTACTAAGAAAATATTAATTATTTAACTAATGCTCTTATAATATCGACTAGTGTGAATGGTATTAATATATATCATTTCAAAATTTAATCTTATAATTATATATATTTTACTTTATATAGTAGTTATTAAATTCTTTGATTTTTGGGAATAAACTAGAGTGATAAAAAAAAAAGTAAACGTTATTTAAAAACCTTATAAGTAAGGGCATCTTCAATAGAAGCAACTTATTTGAGTTGTTTCATGCATTGGAAAATGAAAAAAGTAGTCCCTAGTGTGTCATGTCAGTATTAAGTAACTCAAACACAAATTTACTCCAATAATAAGAAACTTTAAAAAATTTAACTTTTAGAAATTTTTTCTAATTATTTATGAACCAATTTTAAATTTTTATTAAAAAGGATAATTATACTACAATGAAATAAAATAAATTACGAGAAAAAATACACAATAAGTAGATATTAAAAATAAAATAAAACATAGTAAATACATAGACATTATACGAAATTAATTTTCATCATTATTATTTTCGAAACGTTTCCAAATATGTTCTATAAGATCTGTTTGAAATCTGGTAAGGAATGATTGCTCGAGAAAACAACTTTCTCTCTTCTTCAAGTAACTTATGTTACCATGTCAGAGTCCTCCAATAGCAAGAAATCGGGGCTTGAGTTTTTTCATGGGACAAGCAACTCCCGTTGAAGTTGCTCTAAGTAAACAAGATTTTGTTATTAAAGTGTTTTAAAACTATTTTAAATAAATATGTTTTTATTATAATTTTGTTGTTGTAGAGTATTCAAGGATTTTATCTTATAAGTAATTTTTATTATGATAAAAAAATTATATATATATATATATATATATATATATATATATATATTTTAATAAAAAAAACTTAGCTGATCATCTTTATACTTGAATGTTTAAAATTACTTTTAAATCCCATGTTAACTCTTTTTTATATATTTTAATATAAAAATATTTTTATTCTTATTCAAAGGACCTCAGTCACTTATGTTTTTTTTAATTATTTATTTTCAAATTTCTTTAAAACTTGTTTTTTTTTTCTACGTAAACTTGACTTTATATTTTTTTACTTTTTATTTAAATTAATTATATAAATTTCACTAATTAATGAGTTTAAATATCTTTTCTATTGATTTAAATATCTTTTCTATTGATTTATATTTTTAAAAGTTTAGTTACACTTAAAGAAATTCATACAATATATGGAATGCCCTTTTTCTCATATAAGTGTGTATAAGCAAAAATAACTTTATACCTCAAATTGTGAGATACGTATCATGTATGCATAAGCATAACTAATTTAAGTAATGTTTAAGAATAACAATTTAAATTACAAATATATATATATATATATATATATATATATATATATATATC